ATTGTTTACTTTTATTAGGTTGTGGATTTAAATGTATATTAAGGCATTCTCAAAGACTTCTTTTTGTCAAGGTTTATATTTTTTTGTTGTTTTAAATGTTGATCTGAAGTGTGGGGTTTTGCATAAAGATATGATGTGTTCACATGCTGCTTGAATTGAGCCGCTAAAGCAATCGCTCACGCTACATTTATGAGCGCCAAAACTGTATTTTTTGTTTGAATTTCGTTATGAATTTGGCAGAATTGTACTTTATTAAAAAGTAACAGAGCACAAAGTTTTTTGCTATTATTATATGCTATTATCATTATTTGCATCATTATTGCTATTATTATATTCTATTATCATCTTATACAAATAATATGAGGTTCACGCATTAACAGAAAACAGCATTTAGACTAAAGATCTTGATAACAAGAGGCATAGTATCGAATATAAACGAGAATTGTTAATGATATTGGTAATGTCCACACAGCTGACAGCTTAACCTGTTTTGTACAAGTTGCGCAAAGTAGAACCTGCTTTTTTGCACTTTCACTTCACACGTCTCCGTCATTTTCCCCGTCAGAGCTTGTGTTTCTTCACTAAAACGTTGATGCAGATCGTCTCAGTTTATTACGTCAACATAACAAAAGATGTGATTGCAAAAAAAAGCAGCAAAAAGGCGTTACGTGCAAATTTACGTCATAATGTAAATTTATATATTAGCCAGTGGTGATCTCAGCAAAAAATATCACTTGCAAGTTGCAAATGAATATTTTTGGTCACAAATGCATCAGTTTTCCAAAAACCACTAGAACAATGTTATATTTTTTTGTCGACTTGTGTACTTGCATTATATCCAAAATGTTTCCAAGAATGTTTAAATCCAGAGAAATAAGCAATTTTAACTAGTGCCCTGGCCCTTGTCATTGTGTCACCTATCAATGAGGCCATAGTCGCTGCCCCCCTTGATTTCAGGTTTTGTTTTGTATAGAAACCATGGAAACACCAAAGATGCTTTAATATACTATGTGTTTCATTATACAGGCGAGAAAGTGTTTGAATACATCCACTGACAGAAAACGAATCTTTGTTATATAGCTCTACACTGTTAGTCTCATGGTTTAAATCTGGTTTTACTGATTTACCGGGAGTAGGCCTACCATGTTTTTACCATGCCTCAGAGACAACACTATTTTGTCAAGTGGCTAACATAGCATAACCAGATGCAACTTTAACTGCAGTAACAGTAATACATTTTCTCCACCATACAGTATATTTTAAAATTAATTAGCATTTATTAATATGATATTCTGATACCGATCTAGCTTACATCAGAGTGCAACAAGTGTCTCATAGCAGCCGCCGAGCAAACGCACAGAGTAGATTTATAACAGAACTTTCAACATACATAAATATATCTAGTATCTAGCATTACCCCACTTGACCAGAAGAAGCAGAAGCGGTTGACTGCGGCATAATAAAAGCTCAGCCACTCTCGCTCATCTGTCATTAGCAATCACTCCAGCTGCCTTGTTTCGCTCCTACAGCTTTCAGCCCCACCCTGCTTCATACGACAGTAATGTTAACAAATCTTTAGTAGGACATCCAAACGCCCACCTATCACTCATCTACCTCAAATATGGCTTTTCATCTGAAAGATGTATGTAGTAACAACTTTACATGGCCGCTCAATCTAATGTTAACCTACAGAAATGTCCGCTATTCAAGTGTCTGTGTGGAAGCTGAACAGAAGCGCGCTCACTGCAGGACAGATGGAGGCGCTGGTAATACATCTTTAGAATCTGTAAAGACTCTACGTTTATTTGTGTGAATTTAGAATAACAACGAAACACTGCACATCTGTAAAATAATTAAAGCAAACAGGATGCACTTTCTGCCGTCTCGGTCAGTGAACTTCAGCGAGAAACTTCGAAACTCTGTGTATGAAAAATATATCTATAGAGAGTGAAATGTCTACTTTCAAATTAAAACAAATTCAAATAGAAAATGTGCGTTAGCATGGATGATTTACATGAAATGTAATGTGTGTGCAACGCACACTCTGCATTGTTTAAGCTGGCTTTCAGTTCAATAAAATAACAAAAAACTACATTTTGGATTTGTATTCAACTAAAGTGGGCATGCTGTGATCTATACTGTATTTTTTTTTTTACTGTAACTGACAGATTCCGGCCAAAA